AATAAAAAGAGTAAATTAAAGCTGTTAATATATAATTTTTTTTTGCAACTCTTTCATTTAATTATAATATAAAAATATGATTTACTATTTATTTTATATAGAATATAAATATAATCTTTTATGCTATGATTTTCTTTATAAATCTCATACACTATAGAGTATTTATAAGCTTTTATAAAGTATTCTTATTTTTAACATCTTTTGCATTGAATATAAGTCATTACTAAATATCGAGAATTAATATACTAAAAAGCTTTTAGTACTTGATAAGCTATAAAAAATAATAAAATTTTTATTTTTTTTGAAGAATCAGTTACAATTAATACTGATTTTACTTTTTTTTTTCTGATATCAGATTTACTGAGTCACATAAGATTATTTTTCAGTTAAATTAAAGAATTATATTTCTTAATTTCTTTCTTCAGTACTTTTGTAACTTCTTCATAATCAAAAATATTATGATGAATATTGTTAATAATTAATTTTTTTAAGATTATATCTTTATCTAATTTGACTTTTATTTGTAATTTATATTCAAATAGAGATCTTTATTTTTTCTTATATTCAATGAGAAAGTTTAATTGAGAATTCAAATAATATAATAATCATTATAAAGTTTTCTATGAAAAAAATATTTATTGTAGTAATTTTTTTATTTATTACTATTAAAAACAAATATTGACTTAACTTATTTATTAAATTAAAAATTAATATTAAGCTTTAAAGTTAAGTGATTACTTCTTTATTTAAGAGTTTTAGAATAAAATATTATTTTTTTGATTAAATTAACTTATTTTAAAGCTTTTTTTTTCTCTAATTTTAAGCTTTCTTTTCAAATTTTAATATTTTCAAAGACATTAACTGAGCAGAAACAGGAATAGAAGTAGTAACTATTTATATAAAGATAGACTTTTTAATTATATTCTATACTATTTCTGATTAATTCTGAGTAATAATTTTTTATCTAAATTAACTTATTTAAGACTTAGATAAAATATATCTGATTAAGCTGATTATATTCACTTTGAATTCCAAAATCTCATGAATTTACATTGATAGTGAAATTAGAAGATTAATAATCTTTTAATTTTTCTCTTTATCTATTT